ATCTGTGTGTCTGTTATTGCTCTCTGACCACGTTATTCTATATCCTTAGGCGTCTTAGTCTATCCCCTACTGATATAAATAGGAGTAGGAGCATCAAAGATATATTAAATGCACTTGGCGTAAACAGGAAGGGCCAACGGGCGTTGATGAGGAGGTTAATGCCAGGAGTTCCTCTCAAAGTGACTCTATGTAATTCAATATTTTGTCTAATAATTATCATCATTATTTCTAATAAAATCTAGCGTTATTACTGTCATTGATATTATTACAACTGTTGTCATATAATTATTGCAATTACAGCCATTTTGCAAAAAATCTGACATGTTATCAGGTGAATTCATGTGTAATAATCAATAGTTCTGATATTTTCAATAAATATGATTGAAAATAGATGTCGTTGCTTTTTTCTATATCTATTTAACCTTATTCAAACATTCTGTACCGTAATGACAATTTTAAAGGCTTGTGATTTTCGAAAAATCAGATATGTCGATATATGGTCAGAAGTTTTCAAATAACTGATTTAATCTAATTTGCAATACATTGATGATTATAAGTGATTATTTTAATCATATTATCACCGATCAAAAGTAGTTAATGACTGCTGTTATTTTCTAACCATTATAAAGTATTTAATATTATTACCACATATCTTTCAATTTATCATTAACCATATTATCAACAGCCATCATATTTACCATTGATGACCCGTGCAAGAGTTTATTTCAAAAATGCAAAACATTTGAGAAACAATAATAGCCATTCAGTAATATCGAGCCTTTAGACTAAATACGTTTATCCAGAAACTGAGAAAATAACAAAACCATCATTCAACACATAACTACACGAGCTACAATTACCTAAGGCCCCGAGTCATGTTTCGACATCAAATGATAATTGCCCAAGCCATTGTACTTATACCGAAATTTAAACCTTTTAAATTTTTTAGACGAATAAGAAACGTTGATTATATTATTGTTTATAAATTTTCAAATATAATTCGAACAAAACAACAAATTACTAGAATTCATGGTATAAGATTTTGATAAACAGGTTCACTTCAGTTCAAGATAAAAATACCGGAGTATAGTGAAGGTTACACAATCTAAGGTCACTHCTGATAAAAAAGCACCAAATAATTTCCGATACCTGTAATTATTGAACGAAAACAAAAAACACATAAAGCATTTTAGTCAATTTTCTGTTCTATTTTAGCTAATGAGATGTAAGAATTTAAAATTAGTGATCCAAAACTCACCTGATTCGGGAGCAGACAATCCGAGCACTCTAACATGAAGCAGCGAAAAAAAGGCCGCCAAGCTTAGAACCACTGCACCCAATCTTGCCATGTCGTTTTCGGAGCGCTGTAAGCCGTTATTATTGCACTGAATGTCTRGAAAAATTAACTTTGAACTTGAGTTATATTAGGGACGATTAGGAGAAGTATCGCTTACACTATCAGCTTTCGATTTTTTGTCGAAGGTCACTCGTCACACAAGTGTCGAAAAGAGCAGTGTTTTCGCGCACGTTGTATCGCCACCAATGAAGCTGTATTACGAGTCAGTAAGAGTGCAGTCAATTAAAATAATAGTATTGAAGAAGGGCTCTTGGGAATTCGTAACTTAGACGATCTGTCTGGGGTCAGAAAATAGGTCGACAASTAAAAACAACTCAACATGAAAAACCTCTTTTAAAACCACGGAAGATTCCAACTATTTTTACGTCGACAAGATCTTTTGATGACTTTAAATCGCCGAATGTATTTCAAAACTTACGTTCAAACAAGATCACTTTTGGAAGTTTTGTTTCGGTGACGTATTTCGGTAAAAGTCTCCTCAATATTGCCCTTGAATAGTGAAAGTTTCATTTTAAGTTCTCGGAATGTTTGGCATTTGTTGACAACCTCGCCCAAAACCATTGGACTTGCCCTAAAATGCATCGTCTACTTGAAAGAACTCCACATGAAGTACACTGTTAACGCTTCTGGATTTGCAACTATAATCTTAGTCATTGTTCTTCTCTCTTTATAAGAACTATATAGTGATCCGCCCAGGCACCCGTTAGTCTACGTAACTTAACTTTAAACCTTTTGTCAAACACCGCAAACATTTACTGTAAAAAGAACCATGAACTTTAAAACAAAAGGCAAGACCAGGCATATATACAACTCCATTATAGTTTGAAAAGTTCACAAAACTTTAGTAGGGAAAATATACGTTTTTGTGAAGGTCTGCASGCGTTTGAAATCCAGTTTAATGTCTTTCATTCGAGGATTATATTTTACATAAAAAAAGCTTTTAGTCTCAAAGGGAAGACACTTCAATAGTCGAGAGCAAGCCACCTACGCGCGCTACGTGGGCTAGTGAAGGTAAGATTCCGCAACACAAGCAAAGTATCGCATTTTGGTATGAATAAAAACGGTTGTTTATCAAACAAACACGAACCTTTTTTGTAATTATCATACGCCTTTCTTTTTATGATTTTTTGATTTAAAAAAAAATGAAAATGTATCGGAATGAATTGTGATGTTGTGATGTTGYAGCGAAGAAGCAAGAACGGCCAACACAAAAAGTTCGTGGTAACCCAAAGCATTTCTTCGGCGGTTTCCGCCTTATTTATATACATAACTAGCGGTTATTTTAGACTACGATTCTTAATGTTTCTCCGCTAAGCAGGCAAAGAAGTAACATATAAAGCTAAGCTGCCACTTACGTACAAGAAACTAATCTCAAATCTCGTCCACTTCAGTGCAGTGGTAACATAAATAGCTCAACTTACGTAAAGAGACGCATCGAAAATATTGATGTTATCATAAAAGCTTACAAGTCCATGTCCTGCACGCTAGTTCAACAATTATGTGCTTTGTTTTCTATTGTTTTAAAGTCTTTTATACTAACACTCTTGATTGCACAAACAAGCCGACATTTGTATGAACCGCCGATAAAGCTTGGCGGTAGATCCGTGTGTTGGAAAGCGAAGGACGAGAAACAAAACAACTTGTTGTGTAGTATCGTTTGCTGTTTCAGTTTGAAAGGATTCTTTCCGCTTTTCATCCCTGATTTAATGAGCTTACAACTCAACAAAAACATTTTTTGATAACGGGATTTTTTTACTAACGGTATCATAATCAAGATGGCCGACCGCATTTTCTTAAGGAAATGTTATAAAACGTTGGAWATTCTTTGAAAAACAAACAGCAAGCAAAMGTTTGCTGCAGGATTGCCATYTTCTTCACAAAGAACTTCCAAGAGCGGTCGTATTTACTGTTTCTCGACAAGGTAGATTTGTACRCCTCGATCACAAGTACATATAACTTGTTCTGTTGGCAGCCGTACAGAGTTTTGYATGTTCCGCCATTTTCTTCTTACGCCTACCCATAATTCTTTGCKCGTTGTCAAGCAAAATGGCGCCTAAAAAACATACAAAGTGCCACGTAGCGTTGAATGGTAAAGAAATTGCGTAACTTCCGCAGCGCCAAAACCAATCTAAGCACTTTATTTATGGWGAATTTCYCAAGTATAAATATCGGAAAACACACAGACAAGTTATAAAATTCACATAAATATTTTATTTTTCTCATTTTTGAAGTTACAATGAAAATTCACAGAAAAGCTGCCAAAAAATAATTCTAAATTGAAATCTGTTGAGGTGACTTATTACACTTAAATACTGCACGCTTCTCTTCTTTTAATAAAGAGAAATATTTTTAACTACTTACAAGGTGAAGTCTGCTGTAAAAGTCCTAATAAATCTTTTTTATGTTCATGCGATTGCGAGATACAGAAGCGTCTTTATTTTGAGGCGAAGTTAAACTTTCTAGTTGCCAGTTTTGTGAAGACAAATAGCAATGAATTGCACAGGAAAAGAAAGATTTCTTGCACTGTACATTTTCACTCAAGWTTCAAATTGCATTGAATAGCGTGACAGAAGCGGTGCATGACACTTTTGGCGTGACCGAAATGTTGTGTGATGTTTTACAATGAAAACTASTAATACACACAAATGAGCTTCCAAGGGCTATGAATTAATCCCAGTGAAGCAACATCGGAGTTACATAAAGATTGTGTGACTGACAGTGTGACTGTCATCYTCGTCGTGACGAGGTATTGCGTGACAAAGTTCTGAAGTGTTTGSTCACTGAGAAAAAGTGAGCCAATTGTTATCGTCCCATATTTCCCCTGTAGACCCCTCATGGGGCTGACGTCACTTCATTGTTCAATTCCAGGCAGCATTCATAACTAGATTGCCGCGGTTGCATCCGGCATTGSATAGAGATTAGCTCCTTTAYTMMACCTCRTCACTCCAGGGGGGTRGGGTTATCCTTATCTAAGTCCTCCGATCCCGCAACTACGGCCGAGTCGTCCAGCATACTAGTACTCAGTCCTTCGATATCTTTAGCTTCCAGCTCGGTCAACAGGGCCGTCGCTTCGGCTAGCGTATCGGCTGCGCTGGAAGTCCGTTGGAAGGTCTTRCTGGAAGAGTATTCATTGGACGTAGTGGATTGGGGCGGCCAATAATGCTCGTTCATTTTAGTTTTTAACCAGTGTACGGCCCATTGCCATCGAGTGGAGTTTTGTAGTAGATAGTCCTTGGCTGATTGACAGCGATGAGCGAGATGCACTAGAAACTTGATGCATTGATATGCTCGTCGACTGTCAGCGTGATTACTTGACTTAACTATAGCTGCATGCAAAAAATCACATGAGTAATGACCCTCCTCGTTATGACGTCATCTATGTTTGGTCRAGGTGCATCACGGTATAGATAAAAGTTTCAAAATGGCGATGTCTCACAAAAACAGCCGATGAAGACAATTTACGCGAAAAGAACGGTACAAGCCTTGGGAAAGTAATTCTAAGAAGAGCCTTTCATAAGATGACTGCAGTATAGAATATATGTATAACACAATGTCTAAGAAATAAGTCATTCTGGTTGTTCACAATACATTTAGAAAGGCAACAATATGACTCGTTCTCGTGTCACTTTTCATCAATCCCATAATCCATCTCGCTTAACAAGGCATGACGTCATCAGGGGAAAGGACATTGGTCTTTCCATGGTTTTCAAAAGGAAACAGAACGTATGTTTCTGACTTGCGTCAGCCGTAGGGATATTCTAATTACTACAACAAATTAGCAGTCTTACCTAGTATTCCATCGTTATCATCTACAGTGCTTTTTATTCGAGCTAGTTGTAAAGGATCGTCGAGTACCTATTGTCAAAGAATGATTACATATGATTAAGTTGATGATGATTGTAATATCAATCAATGCTAAATCATGCTAATTCTCAAGTTTTCTACCATTAATTTAGAAATAATTACTATTAAGTACAGTCAACTCAGTCAACCGTACAGTCAACCGTAATTTAGTGTCCGCAGTAGCGAGAGTCCGTAATAACGAGAGCTACTTTCAGTCATTTCTTTGTATTTTTCGCCGGGGTTCAGTATTTTATTGTCCGCAATATCGAGGTGTCCGTTGTAGCGGGGTGTCCGTAAGGCGAAAGTTGACTGTAATTACTATTAAGTAGTGCTGAACATTGCGAGTTTTCTGTCCCATTTTTAATTCCGAGAAAGCCAATTGTACACTATGAATCATTACTGAATAAGGTTAGTAACAGAGAGATCCACTTACAAGTATACGAAGTAATGTTGTAAACACACTCTTCATGTCGTTGGCAGCCACGTTAGCGACTTGACCCTACACCAATAAACACATGTTATAAATAATCTTAAACGACTTGACTGGATCAAAAAGTCCACATTATTTTCCTCAGAGAAACTCTAAGTTATGATCACCCCACKTTGCCGTGCGTAAAGATTACGTTTACGTAAGATACCAGTTCTAATACCTCTAATAGAAACTCTAAGTAAAGATGACCGTACGGCGCCGTGCGTAAAGATTGCTTTTACGTAAGATACCAGTTTTGATACCTCTAAGACAAAGATTAACGTACGCCGCCGTGCGTAARGATTACGCTTACGTAAGATGCTAATTTAATACCTTAAGATGTTTCAGCACTTGAACTGAAAACTGCTCGTTACACCAACTACAGTGTAAAAACATGTTCGTCAAATGCACCGATGTGTCGGCTACTTCACAAATTGCTTGAGTGGCCTGTAAAGAAACGAACAACTTACAACACCCGTACAAMAGCAACTAAAATTACAGTAGGAAGGACAAAAATGTAATTTTTTTAAACAACCACAACCACAACTACAACCACACCAGTAACAGTATATAATAGCACAATAAAAGAAAATCAAAAATCAACGCTAATATCACTCTAAACAGCAGCAAAAACAAGCGTACAACAACAGCAAGCGCAAGAACAAGGGCAAATGCAGTAGCATTTAAAACATTACAACACCRATCTCATCTTCTAAGTATGTCATTTTTTTCTTTCTTAGTTCTTTTGAATAAATTAAAGTTGTTTCGTGTTGCTTTGCCGCTGCTGCTGCTGTTGTTGTTGTTTTGCTGTTGTTATTGTTTTGCTGTTGATGTTGTTTTGCTGTTGTTGTTGTTGTTGTTGTTGTTATTGTTTTGCTGTTGACAACAGCATCGCAACCAGCAGTAAAAATAACAAATCAAAGAAAAGACAAACACAGTAAGAGCAGCCACAATAATAGCTGTAAGTACCAGCTGCAATAGAAGCAAAAAAAAATGGCAATAATGATGAAGATAATCGTACCTCTCGAATGTATCTGTCAGCGTTTACGCCAAACAAGGCATCATCGATTTCGGGCGGCATTGTAATTAATGGCTTGTCTCTGAATGCACTCAAAAACACTTGTCTTGGGGAATCTGTCTCTGCATAAAAATAAAAAAAGATAGTACTATATTCTCCCTGACAAAATGTCCCTCTCATTGTCTCGGCTGAGTTCAGTTATGGGGGACGCGACTTTGCCGAGGCAGCGAGAAGGCATTAGCGATGTGGAAGGTTGGCGTCGCCGAAGGGGAGGAGGGAGGGTTAAAACTAGCTTTGACCTAGTGCCGTGCACTTTGTCGAAGAAGACGCTGTTTTAATGGATTTCCTAGCATTTATACCTTCGAAAGGGTCCCCTGGGGTTTCTCTGGACGCACGCATTGGTTAGGGTGTGTTTTGGCGCTTAAACTCAGCCTCGATGTCATGTTTCGCGGGAATTTTATCAATGAGAATAGTACTATATTCTCCCTGACAAAATGTCCCTCTCATTGTCTCGGCTGAGTTCAGTTATGGGGGACGCGACTTGTGCCTGCGGCCTGAGCGCTCGACAATTCGTCCGATATCCAATCACCGCGGCTGTCACGGTTATTAAAGTGCTTTAGTGTACTCCTCCCGAAACTCAGATATTCCTTAAACCCTCCTTCCTTGTTCCGTTCGGGAAGGGAAATTCAGCGTGATTGATTATTGTTTTCCTGTGGCAACCTTTGCCAACGTTCGCTCCTCCTGTACGGCTCGCAAATACTGACGCACGGACCATTTCCACTGAAGGCAACGGTCCGGCCCAGCTGGTGTCTTTTCCCTCCCAATGAAAGTGCATATCAAACTTATTGCCATACATCGGGTGACATTTGATTAGATGTCTTAGATTAGATCTTTTGATATGTTATAAATGAAGAGGCCGAAAAAGAGCACAAATACGCCCACTTTTTGAAGGAATATATAGGTTCTCGGTCATTTGAAAAGCAAAAAGTTTTCAGATTTTGTTCTCCGACACCCTGGGACTCTTCAACAATGGCTTTTACTTCAATAGCCTTCAAAAGAATAATCAAAAGAATAATCAAAAGAATAATTTTCTCACGAAGAATACACAGAAAGGTCACATATATATGTGACGATAGCGTAACTGTCTGCCAAATTCTACGTGAGGGTGACTATATATTGCTATGGAAAAGAAAAGTGTGAACAACACAAACGAGTCAAAAAATAAAAATGGAGGGAAAAAAACAAACCAGCCAGGCCGGACCAGGAATCCGTCCGGAGACAGATTATAGGGTGTGATTAGAAGACCCTTCTGGTTCGACCCGACCGGGTGGGGAGAATGGCAGGTATTCTAAACAATTTAACCAAAAGAATGGAACATGGAACAGGAAAGGCCAGCGCTTAAATAAATGAAAATAAAAATAGAAACGAACATTGCCATCGAATGGCCGGTAAACAATTTAAACCCAAGAATTTAAAATGCCCAAGAATGGCCAGTGTTTTAAACAAATTAAAAGTAGAATCGAATATTGCCCTAGAATGGCCGATATTCTAAACAATTTTAAGTAACAATGCGCTAAAGAACTAGGGAACTCTCTATTGTTCTGTGGCATTGCAACTTCCCCATGTACGAATGTCTTGGTTTTCACACTGATTATKTATTAACCTGTGGGTAATACACTTTTGAAACAAAATGTGTTTAAGCTCTATTTTGAAACAAAGTTTTTTTTTTGTATTAAAAGCTCTTATCCATCAATCATAAGCACTCAACACAATAGCCAAAAGATGCTTCTAATTTGCTATGTTCGACACGTAGAATTGGAGCTAAAGAAAGCTTTCATGAAAGCGAGAGCAGAAATTAAAGTATTAGCAAACTCGCTAACTTGTGAAATTATAGCAGACTTCCATGCCTCAACCAATGGGATGGATGGATTATACAATGCACAATTAGCACTTTCTTGCATTCCTTTGCCGTTTGCTTCCCTAGTTGTTACTCGGTGCATTACTTTAACCAAAGAATTCAACATGCCGAGGAATGTCCAGTGTTTTAAACAAATTAAAAACAGGAACAATCATCGCCAACGGATATGCTAGCATTTAAAACCAATGGAATTTTAAAACATGCCCAGGAACAAACATGACAATACAAATAGACTGTCGCCATCGAATGGCCTGTACTAAAAACAATCTAAACATAGAATTCAAATGACTTTTGCCAGCGAATGGCCCATTTTTTAAACGTAACAGTACAATTTGACTTTCGCTAGCGAATGGCCTGTATAGAAAACAGCAGTGTTTGAAAAATAGAATTTGACTGTTGCCCCGAATGGCCTGTGTTCTAAACAGTTTTTACGTAGAATTTGACTGTTGCCATCGAATGGCCCAATTCTAAACAAATTGCCAGCGAATGGCCAAAACTAAACAAATTGCCAGCGAATGGCCAAAATTCTAAACAAAAAGCCAGCGAATGGCCCAATATCTACACAAATTGCCAGCGAATGGCCAAAATTCTAAACAAAAAGCCAGCGAATGGCCCAATATCTACACAAATTGCCAGCGAATGGCCAAAATTCTAAACAAAAAGCCAGCGAATGGCCCAATATCTACACAAATTGCCAGCGAATGGCCAAAATTCTAAACAAANTGAGAATATATAAATCAATCCACCAATTACACGACCCGTCAATCAATCAAATGACCCGTCAATCAATCAATCATTCAAACTTACTTATTACCTATTCTATCATTTGTAACGCGTGGATATCTCACCTAATGTAACTCGTGGAGATACATCGCAGCTGCAAACCAATGTAGCGATAGCAGCATAAAGACCTGTGAATTCCTGCGACTGAATGGAGCTCCATCGACGGTTATTACTCTAAATTGTATTAAATATTATCAATCCTTGTATATAACGTACGATGTGATTGGTTGATGTCACTTTTCTATGAACACAAGTTCTACTTACATTTTGTGATCCGACAAGAAAGCTGAGAAACCTTTTGAATGCTCCTCTGGCGATCAAATGCTCGCATGTCCTTCGATTCTGTTGGCAAATACACATCAATCAATCATGAATCAAATCAATCAAATAATCAATCAATCAATTAAGCAAAGAATCAATCAATCAATCAACCAATCAATCATTCAATCAATCTATCAATCTATCCATTAAACTTACCATGTTTGCGTATTTATTTAACAGCCAAAAATAATCAGCGCATGTCTTGTGATGATCGATTACCTCACGGTTACACATCGCCAAAATGGTTTCCATCAGAGTGAAAAATGGACCTGATTCCTACAGAAACCAGAAGGAAAACAACGAAACTTTATAAGTTTTGCAGCTAATGATATGAGGTTCTCAAGATGAGTATTGATACTACTTACAACGTTTCCATCGTGGTAAATGTAATTTTCAAACGCAAGMCMGAGAATTCGTGAAAAAGCTGATCGAACTTCTTGAGATGGAGCTTCCAGTAAGAATGGCCTAAAATAGAAGTCATTATGATAAATGTCATCATCATCATCATCATCACTGTCAAAATCATTATCATATCCAAATGTCCACATAAGTTCGTCGGTTTGAGAGTTACTGTCACGAGTTACTGAGTTTTGAGTTTCTGCCATGAGTCTATTGTTTATAATAGAACAACATAATCATCAACATCATTATCAGTTCGGCAACATCTAAATCATCATCATCATCACCATCATCATCATTTCTATGATCATATTCTACTGATGTCTCACTTGATGTAGCCTTTGCCTCGTTCTCCTGACAGGAACTGCACGAACCACGTACAAGCCTCGGTATTTCCCTTGAGTAGATGTTCGATGATACTACACCACTCTTCTGTATGAACTCTACAAATACACAACATCCCGCGTGACAACTTAGTAGTCACGCAACTCTATTCATGACTGACAACTTATAATAGTCACGCAACGATATTCATGACTGACAACTTATCAGTCACGCAACTCTGTTCATGACTGACAACTTATTAGTCAAGCAACGATATTTACAACTGATAACTTATAATAGTCACGCAACGATATTCATGAATGACAATTTAATTGTCACGCAACGATATAGTTAAGAATTACAAATTAGTTACGCAATATTTACCGTAATTTCTTTGTGGTCTTCAAGTATGTGTTGAATAAGAATTGTATGGACAATTGTAGACTGCATACAGCGAAGAGTAATTGCTTGTTAGACGTGTAACCTCTCTGCAAGAATTAAAAAAAAAAGAGAGACGTTAAAAATGCAGCATTTTGCATAACAAACAGGTAGGTAGTGTCACACACGGACAAAAAGCCCCATAGAGAGACACACAGAGGAAAGCARTGGKCATTAAGGSCAACAAAGACAGGTTGAGAGGCAGTTAGGCAGTCAGAYAGTGCTTACAGCACTAGTGGTTTAGAGACGRACATGCAGACGCATAAACCGGAGTTGAACTTGGCGTGCCAGCTGCATGGTCCCTTCCGTCCTCCACTCCCCGACGTCATGCGGGCGTACCCATTATTAAATACCATTATTAAATAAATAGAATCAAGAAACAAAGTTCTGGACAAAATTAAATTGGTAATGACTTACATTACAAGAAGCTAAGCTAAGAATAAACTTGAAATAATCAGTGTTATAGACGTCACGATTCTGCATGAACTGAAGGTTCTCGGCGTGGACCTGTGGAATTTAAATAAATTCACAGTGAATGACAGCATGACAGAGGCTATGGTCGGAGTGTAGCCTCTTCCCCATTATATAATTTTTTCCTCCTTCGGGCTTCCTTTGTAACAGTCATATTGACCGCCTGGGACCGAGTGACTTCAAGAAGACAGGAAGCCCGTGACTATTAATGATGCCTGTGGAGGAGGCTAGACCTAGTTGATATCAGTAAATGGCTTACCACTCTYTGTATACTMGCTGGCATYTTATCCTTGAAGATYCCTTTYCGTTCGCCCTTCTGTACAAGTGCAGTYARTTGACTYAARCCATCGCTGCGAGTGGGTGAYGGAGGACCGGAACTCGACGAGATTGATGATGAYGACGGTGATGGTGGACCGGACCTGAAAACATGACGAACAATSCCCGATTACTATCCGAAGCTCCTACGTTTTACCGAGTACTATCCGAACCTCCTACGCTTTACCAAGTGCCACTGACGATATACATTACTGCTATGATTTGAACGACAGACTAACGAAGAATGCATTAACCAATTCGATCACTCTCCGAGTAACATCCGATTACTATCTATACGTATTATTACAATGCGAGGCACAAACGAACAATATCCGAAGTTACCCGAACACTTTTAAAGTCTGCCGCCTTACACCGAATTAYATACAAATTGTTAATTCTAACCTTCCCTCAATGATAGGTTCCTGTCTGACTAGAGGTCCTCTAGGATGAAGAAAATTATTCTGTGTTTTGTTGTTCTCGACAGCTTCGTAGAATAACATGTAGGCATTCCAGTATCGATGCCGCGTCTCTGGGTAGGAATTGACTTGAAGAAAAATTGGTGGGAGATGGCAGAATAAGAATACAACTGTATATAATTTTTGGTAGCAGGGAAATACAAAGGGAAAATTAGAGATTTAGAGCGAGTAAACATATCAAGAAATAAAAGTTAATAAAAAGAACATAGGATAGAGAATAAAATAAGCTTCAATACCTGTGTCATATACAGTAGCTTTGTAAGTTCCACCAAAACACTCAGCTTCAAGATTCTCGTCATTCATGTCGAACTCTTCCACAAAGGTATCGTTGTATTTGTACCATTTTCCTTTAGAGTTAGAATAACCATTCCTAACACAAAGACAATTCTCATTACAACCAATCATGAACAATTTTATATAAGAATCCAAATATCATACAAGCGTTCTGATAGGTAGATTCCTCGTATCACGTGATAACACCGCGCGCGCGTCAAAATTTTCATGTTTTCCCGCCTTTTTTTRACTGTTTCACTAGTCATATTACAGTATGAAAGAGAAAAGCGTCTTAACTTCGTAGCTGTATTATGCTACCTCTTTCTGTGTTGTAATACCCGGAAAACACTTAGAAACCGAAACGAGAGAGACTTGGAGCAAATCTGCGCTCTCAATGAACAACATACCTTCTATCTTTAATAAAAGAATAATAATGCCCAGCATTAGCTTGCCCACTATGTACAATAACTCCCACTAATTCGTACGTAATTTCAGGCTGTAATACATTTGACTGTACTGACGAGAGAGATTGACTTGAAACCGTCTTTGTTAGGTCTGTAGAGCTACCGCTTTCACTGCATGAATCACTGTTAGCGACATTGAACTGTTCACGGCGAGCAACTCCGTCAATGGTGTAAGGCTCCATATTAAGTACCCATGGAAACTACGAAAAAATACATGTAAAAAATAATATCAAAGCCACTTTAATATAATACGAGCAATTGTGTTAATACCTCAAAGTGGTCGTCAAACTTGAGGGCGCGTCCGGCTTCCCAGTCGTAGCCAAATCTCTTGAGTTGAATAACAAGTACTGGAGGTAGAGTTTTGATGCACATGCGCTTGACGGTGGTCCGCTGATAAATAGCGTTAGAAATACATTAGCGAAAATAACAACAAGAAGGACGGACGGAAGAATAGGAAAAATAGCAAGAAAGAAAGAAAAACGGACAGAAGAGAGGGATGAAGTGGCGAAGGAAATTAGGAAGGCAGGAAGAGAAGAGAGGAAGAGGAAAACGAAAGACAGAGTGAAGGGGAAGGAATCCGGGAATAAGGAAAGAAAAAAAAGAGAAAGGAAATTGCTGAAAACTCACCCGTTCATTGCATTTCTCACAAAAGTATGCATTGTCACCCTCAAGGATCTCCCCGATGACAAACTGTTCCAGTGAATCTTCCAATCGATGGTTCTTTACAGTCACAGGCAGCGAGTGGAAGGCCTCTTCTCTCTCATACCTTGAACAAAAACAACGGTTAGACTGGGGTTCCTGTGTCATTTCTCATCTCTTGAGAGGAGCATAGAGTTATTCCTTGTTATTGATAGAGGATAATACAGCCAAGCCATTACTCCTCCATTGCTCAGATTAAAAAAATTATACACAAGATTAATGTTCTTTGACTGAAATAAAATTCGAAAAGGAGAAAGAAATGCGTTACAAATATCATAAATTTTTACACTGATTGTACTACCTATGGTTGCAATCCTTGCAGATTTTTTGGTCAGCAAACATTCCACAAAACGTCTTTTTGAAAAGCTGGTTGTGCCCTTTTTGCTGAAAAAAATCATATATATAACATCAAAATCCTTTGTTACTATGGGTCATTGATTACCTTCGACGTCCATCGATTCAGTACTATACACTATCATTACAACACACCATTCACCATCAATAGGCATCATTCACCGTCACTACCCATCATTTATCATTATTGTCTATAAACACTATCTATCATTTATCATTACAACACATCATTCAACATCACAACGCATCCTTCACCTTAACTACCCACTATTCACCATCAACCCTTTCTTAACCACCAACCATGGACAGTACGATGACACGATGTATTGTGTTTGCGGATTTTACCTTCAAATGTTCATCAAGCTGATCTGTCAAATTACAGAAGAACTCAAACGCATCCTACAAACAAATGAGATTGAGATAAAAGTTCCCTTCACCGTTCCCTGCGCCATCTTGAACGGCGACACTGCCTTTGCTTCGAAGCAAGACGACCAGTGAGCATGCCTCTAAAATTCCTCTAAAATTTGCCCAGTAGGTGTAATATACAATTTTTATTATTGCACGCTCACTGGACGTCTTACTTTGGTGCCGACCCAACTACATTTCAAGATGTAATTTTAATCACAATTGCTGGTAAATCTGGCATAAATCTTCCCATGAATATGATTTTGATATGTAAAGTAAAGTGTTTTCAATGGTTTACCTGTTGTTCCCGAACGTTAACAGGCTGTCCCCAGAGCTTAAAACTCTTCCAAAACTGTTCAGGAGCGAAATAYTGGAGTTGGCTGTCCATAAGATGACCAAAAACCGACTGGATTTGATAGAAGACACTGGCAAAAACATTAAAGTATTATTATATCACTAACTCAATTTTAAACTAGTTTTCTCTGACATTATGTTGGAGGATCACTAAACATAAATTATCATATTTTATCATAAATTATTAAACAACAATATGCAAACAATAATTTTGTACCTATCTTTTTCAACTTGATCGTCATCMACACCAAGAACAGCCTATGATATTCAATGAAGRAAACGTKACMAAAMCAACAATAAAAATAAAGGACACGCATWTTGCGTGACAAGGYAATTGTKTTACAAMWGTAACACAACACTGTGTGAGAATCACACTTATACCTCTCTAATCCCAGGGTGCATATAGAGTTGCTGTATGACAGAGTTCATATAGCAKGTAGCTCCAGCGTTTTTGAGTCCAAGAAATCCACAGGAAGCCCGTGGTTGCACTGGAGGCTGAAACTGAATCATGCAAGATAATGAATAAGTTGCCGGTCCCCAGTCCCTCTCGGTATTTGCAATGCATTTTGGGTATGTCAGGGGGCAAACAAGAAGAGTTTGGAAATGATATGTATGTTGTGTTTATGTCGTTCGTGGTTTTAGTGCTTTTTTACCGCGTTCAAATTGGAAGCTTATTCATTAAAATACTGTCATTACAATAGCTGAACTGACCTCCCATTCCTTGAACGTGACAGGGTCCCCTGTATGATGCATGCTAATCAGTTGTGATACTACATCAAATAGGTTCTCGCAACATCCTTCGGCCATTTCCACAAGTAATTCGTACGCTGCAACTTGGCATTCTTTACTAACACACCTGGAATACAAACTTACTAGTTATTATCAACGAACAAAAGAGAAAAAATGAATTAAGAAATGAAAGAACTGAATTAAAGAAGAGACAAACGCATGAATGAATATGTGGATGATTCAACGAAAGAAAGTGATGGATTCCTTAATAAATCAATGGGAAAATAAATGCAATGAACGAATTGATGGTTGAATGGATGGAAAAACGAATGACTGAATGAATGAGCAAATGGGTGGATAAATGAGACGAATGGAGGGATAAATGAAAAACGTATAAAGAAAGTTTTTAAAAGATGAAAGCCTGCCGCACACGAAAGGAAAGTGCATAATGGAAATGCCACACGAGTCGCTTTGGGCAGCGTTTTGCTCACCAATTTTTGCTGTTCACGGTGAGCAAAATACTGATCAAAGCGCCTCGCGTGGAATCTTCCTTAAGAACTTTCCTGTCGTCAGCGGCGGGCTTTAGACTGTTATATGTTTATAAACAAATCACGTCTACACGTTAACAGGCCTTACTTTGGGTAAACATCAATAATGGTGTCCTTTGTTGGTGTCTTTCTTGTGTCAAAAATAAGCTTTGAGGCTGGGAAGAGGAAGTCATCCAGTAGATCTCGAATTAAATTTTTACCTGGAAAAAAATACAATACCCTGTAAACCATGCAGACTTTGTTTTTCACTAAATTTAGTTTAAATTATTATTTGCTTTCTTATTCTGGTTGAAGCTTTCTAAGGCATTATTTGATCTCTTCTCTTACCCCATTTACGTTTATCAATGCCTTCACTTGTGAACAGGGTTCTTGTTAGTTTTAGGTGTCCTGCCAGCAGGAACGATTCATTTTCTGCAACAGAATAACAAGAAAAAAAATCAAGACAAAATCGTAAAAATACAAGTAAACTCAACAGACGCAAGCAAGTATCGTAATCAAAGCTATTTAGTTAAAGGTAAACACAACGCAAGAAACTTTTAACAAAGGACAATGCAGAGTCAGGTATAATAGACTGAGGACAGACTCGTATCCAACCAATTAAATAATTTTTGAAGTT